TCTGGAACCAACTTCCAAGAGAAGTGGTGCTGGCCCCTAACCTGGGGGTCTTTAAGAGGAGGTTAGATGAACACCTTGCTAGGGTCATTTGACCCCAGTACTCTTTCCTGCCATGGCAGGGGGTCAGACTAGATGATCTACTCAGGTCCCTTCCGACCCTAGAAACTATGAAACTATGAAGAGTGCAGCACCCTGGAGAAAGTTCCTATTAGGGCTTTGTCACTCACAGAAGTGTCCATAGCTCCCTCCCCTAGCCATGTGCTGCTGCTGCTTCATCCCATCTACCTGTAACACTGCTTGCCTTGCAGGTACTAAGGCAGTGGTGTTTCTCTGGGGGTCCAGGATGAGACATGGGAGCAGGGCCAGTGAGGGTGGGAATAAGGCCAGGGAAGCATCAGGGTGCAGGGTGCAGCCAGGGGCATCAGGGAAAAGTAGTATGGGTAAGTAGGGGACTTTTGCAGTGGGAACAGCAGGGTATGAAACCATTGTAGCAGTAGGTCAATCAGGTTTGCCAACTATTTTTTAACTGATAATCTGCAACCTTTTTACTGACAGTCAAACATTTTTACTATGGTTGATGTTACACCCCTAAATTTACATCCAACCCTTGTCCAGGGTCTGGCAGAAGGTTTAATATATGCTAGAGTGCTTTAACGATGTGCACAGGTACATCAGGGCCCTTCTTCAGGGCTTAAGTAGCTAGTTGTTTCTCTTTTACAAACTGAATTACTCTTACTGCTTCTGAAAATAAAAATTACAAAGGCCAACAACCAGGCCATCTTGGCCTTTTGGTAAACAGAGAATGGAAGATGAGATCAAATATAATGAATGAATCACACACTCTTCTAGCCTCCCCTGTATGAATGGGGCAAAAATAGATGTCCAAGAAAAAAAAATTTCCAAGAATGTAAAGGAATTAAAAATATTTTGCCCCATACACTAAGAAAGTTCATATTAATATTACCTTCCTATTTCTTAAAATAAGATTTTTATTAAATATTGTAGTCCTTTGAAAAGATTTGATAAAGTTACAAAGCATTTAGTTTAAATTACCAGTCTGATGGCCCTTTGTGTAAGAAAAGCCTGTCCAATTATATTTTAATTAAGATGCAAAGCTTTAAAAATTTTATAAAGTTCAGAAATTAATTTACATTCAGTGATCCAGCTAGTAAGACAATCTGTTGCATTTTTCCAGTTAATCATAAATGTTTAATTTAACTAATTCTTTGATACATTTATCTTTTTCAACAGGGAGACTAAATTTTTGGTCAGCCTTGGCTGCTTAATTGTTAAGTAAATGGAATTTTATTGACCGAAGGACAAAAGTTTACCAAAGGACAAGAATAGGAAGATATTTTAATTAAAATCACCAAAAACCCACACACCAATAAAGAGGGGGCAGAAAAGAAGATTATGGAAGGCTACTATGTCCTTTCTAGATATAAATGAGATAGAAAGGATGATCAATATATATGTGCCTGTACACTGGATCTGGCAACACATAATAGAACAGGTACCAAGAACAAGGAGAAAGCACAAAGCCATCCCAATACACATTGATTGGTGGAAGGGTAAAACGGAGGGCACGCTATCTAAATGTCTTCAATTTTTTTTTTCTGTGACTGATATCTGACTGCCACAGTAAATAATGCACTACCTTTCAAATGTTGTAACTACAGTAACAAGCCCTTTCAATGTGTTAATATTACCCTATTCACAGTACAAATCACAGAAGTGAAAGTATATGACTGCAGAATTACGCCCCTTTCTACTTGCTTTATGGTAGGTTCCTGAATTATACCATTCTGAATTATACCATTTTTCTAATGACAATGGAAGTGGTCAGTGCATGCTGCATAGTGCATCATTATTTTAAGTGTGCACCAATCATAACAAATAGCTATTACATTTACTTTTTAAAAGTTAAACATCCTAGAAACTGTTAAATGATGCTCTCCATTCAGGATTTCTAAAGAAAAATACATGCAGCTTAATCTGTATTATGAAAGCTTAATTCTAACATGTAGAGTCTATCAAAAAAAAGAAACAAGCAACTTTGTTTACAATGTAACTCTTTTAATGCAAACGGGACTTACCACTTATGATCATTGTACATCCTATTAATTCTGTCCCATTCAGCATTCAGTTGGGTTAGTGCATCACCTATTTGTATAGCTTCAGGTCCAGATGCTTCTAACATAACATCAGGCTGTTTTTCATGAATGACTGCAATCTGATCCCCAAGTTTGTCCAAAATATCTTTTATATTCTACAAAGCACAGTAATAAAGCGAAGTCATTAGTAAGGGTGACACTAGCAGGAGAAAAGAAAAAAAAATCAACTAAAAAATTATGAATATTGCCATTTCAAGAATGAGAAACAAAAAGAATTTGGCTACCATGGGGGAAAAACAGTAAATAGATAAAAGCAACATCTCAGATTAAAGCAATTTTCAAATCACCCCATCTTAACCACTCCCCTGCCATCTCCTTTCAAAAAGTTAACATAAGCCATCACAGATGATCATCTTTGGAGCTTAAGGAACATGCAGTTTTATTCAATAAGCATTAGTAGAAACTTAACTTCCTGCCTTCTCCCCTCCCATTCCATCAAACAAAATTTGCTGCTGGAATATCCTGGAAAGAGAGACAGAGCACGTACACACGAGCAAGCAAGCAAGCGAGACTGAGAGCGAGCAAGCTCCTCCTCTCCCTCCAAATTGAGGGTCTTATCAGAAAATGGGTAGTGTAACTACTCTCTCTACAATCTCCAATATACACACACAGCCATGTGATTTTTTTTTTATTTTTTTTTTATTTCAAATGGCAACAGGATGTTCAGAGTAAATGCTGCCCAAACACAATACATTACTGGGCCAAGCAGTTGCAATTCCATGCACCACAAGAGGAGTGTAGGGAGACTTCTGCATTATCTAGAGACAATGGCATACAAATGAAACAACAGAATTGACTTGTCTTCCTTCATTTTCAATTTCAAAATGTCCATGAATTCCATGCATTTCTGCCATGCTGTTTTTCTTCTAAATGCATTTTAAAGGTGCAAGATTATCAAAATAAAAAGTGATCAGGACATTGCTACCTACACTATGATACTAATACAGTTTGGACTGGGTCATCACTGGAGTTCTCCCTCAGACTGTGTCCAGATGCAGCAAATTGAGATTAAGAGGACAGCAATATCACTATCAGCAGACAGAATAAGAAAGTCCAATGCTGACAAAGTATGAAGTCATAGCTATGCTTGATTTTTAAAACCATTGTGAATATCTGGATATACAATGATTACTGTTTTTCTCAGTGAAATAATTCAGTAGTTTTAGCTTTCCCTTGCTCCCCCAAGCTACTAAGGCTATGAACAGACATTGCGTTTGTCCCAAGAGAAAACATTTTCAAATATCTATGATTTTTAAAATATCCATGTCTGTCGTCCCAGAAAGGCTCATGGGACAAGTGTGAACAGTTTGTCCTGGGACATTGTAAAGTACATCTGAACAGTTGTCCTAGGACTACATCAAGTCAATAGCAGAAAAGCAACATAGCATTCAGGTGGTCAATACACCGTGCTTGGAAGGGTGATGTGTATACATGTCAGTTCCAGGACTTTTCTGTTCATGGACATACACAGGTACAACTCCTCCTAGGACAAATGCAATGTCTGTTCCTAGCCTAAATAACAGTTCAAGAATCCTCAAACTGTGATATCCGTAGAGCAGATTTTAAGCCATATGCTGTGAACACTTCCTTTTGTTCCCAGATGCTTTTTCAGCCCTTTGCAAAGAAATTACAAAGAAGCACTAGGGCATGTATAAAAGCATCTGGGGGCAGCCAAAACAGTCAACCTAACTACCTTTGTTAGCAGCCAGTGTTACAAAGGGAAAGGAAGCCAATAACAAAAGATTATCAGGAGTATCAGAGAAACACAGGAAGAAAACAGGGAACACCAGAAAGCACAAAAACATGTGCACGGGACAGAAGAATAAGGGAGAAGGGAGTGAAAAGAAAAAAACTGAAAAAGGCTGGGTAAAGCTTACAGAAGTTTAAAAAATGTTCAAAAGGCAACAGTTGCTACACACCAAACTTGCATTTAAAACAAGATTCCAATGCTTTCAGCTATTTTAGTCAGTATAATCCCTGGTCAGAAACATGGGAACACACAGACATTCTTAACATTAGGCACATGACTAGCACTA